TACTGGTTCCGACTGATCTTTTCACCCTGCTAAATGGTGGCACTTGCTTTGCCAAGTTGGATCTCGCTGACGCGTATCTGCAGATCGAGGTCGTCCCAGAGTCGCGCGAATTGTTGATTATCAATACCCACCGCGGTCTGTTCCAATACACCAGGCTGCCCTTTGGTGTCAAGACCGCCCCGGCCCTATTCCAACAAACGATGAACGCAATGCTCTCCGGCATCCCTGGCACAGCTGGTTACCTGGACGACATCATCATCGTGGGTCGCTCCCCTGCAGAGCTGCAAGACCGAGTGTGCGCAGTACTCGAACGCGTGCAGGAATATGGCTTTCGCCTACGAGCCGAGAAGTGCCAATTCTTCCTCGACTCCATCAAGTACCTTGGATTCGTTTTTGACGCCAGTGGTCGCCATCCAGATCCTGAAAACATTCGGGCCATCCAACGGATGCCTGCACCCAAGAATGTATCGCAACTTCGTTCGTTCCTTGGCCTGATCAGTTACTATAGCGCCTTCCTACCATCGCTGCATGACGTACGGGCCCCGCTCAACCGTCTGTTGCAGAAGGATGCTCCTTGGTGCTGGTCCCCCGACTGTGAAAAGGCCTTCGCCCAGCTAAAGTTGATGCTGAGTTCAGATCTGCTGCTCACGCACTACGACCCGACGCTGCCGATCGTTGTTGCTGCAGATGCTTCCAACCACGGAGTTGGTGCAGTCATCTCACATACTTTTCCTGATGGGTCTGAAAAGGCGATCATGCATGCACCTCGCACGCTAACCCCTGCGGAGAAGAACAATGGGCAAATAGAGAAAGAAGCTCTAGCCCTCGTGTTTGCCGTCAATAAATTTCACAAACTGGTGTACGGTCGCCACTTCACGTTGTTGACGGATCACAAACCATTGCTGTCAATCTTCGGTTCGAAGAAGGGCATTCCCGTCTACTCAGCCAGCCGACTTCAGCGATGGGCAACCATCCTTCTTGGCTACGATTTCGACATTCGCTACTGTCGTACTACAGACTTTGGTCAGGCTGACGCCCTTTCTCGCCTCATCAGCAATCAGCAGGAACCGGAGGAAGATACCGTGATTGCCGCTATTTCGATTGAGGACGATGTGCGCCGTCAGTTATCAGACGCCATACGAGGTATCCCTGTCACTGCCGCGGACATCCGGCATGCTACTGAACAGGATCCTGTCCTCCGTCAGGCCATCACCTACGTGCAGACCTGCTGGCCAACCACTGCTCTCGCTGGTGATCTTCGTCAGCTCTTCCTCCGACGAGCATCGTTATCTGTGGGTGACTCCTGCCTCATGTTTGCGGACCGTGTGGTGATCCCATCTTCCCTCCGACCCACTGTACTACGCCAGTTCCATGTCCCTCATCCTGGTACCAGCCGAATGAAGTCTATTGCTCGCAGTTTTGCCTACTGGCCGGGTATCGACGGCGACATCGACGACCTGGTTCGACGCTGTTCTCGATGTCAGCAAGCTGTCAAGATGCCGCCTCGTCAACCGCCAGTACCCTGGGAACCATCAGAGAGGCCTTGGTCACGCGTGCACATCGACTTCGCTGGCCCACTTACCGGAGTCTCCTACCTAATCTTGGTTGACGCCTACTCGAAGTGGCCCGAGATTGCTCCGCTGAATCCAGCAACCGCATCTGCCACTATCGCCTTCCTACGACGTATCTTTAGCCAGCATGGCTTACCAGAAGTCCTGGTTTCAGATAATGGCTCTCAGTTTATCTCGTCGACGTTTGAAGATTTCTGCCGCCAGCACAACATCCAACATCTTCGCTCCCCGCCCTACCATCCTTAGTCTAACGGTCAGGCGGTGCGTTTTGTCGACACTTTTAAGAGAGCCCTTTTGAAAGCTCGTGGGGAGGGGACCACGGACAAGATAGTCCAGACGTTCCTGTTTTCCTACAGGACAACACCGAACCCGGCGTCCCCTCGTGGCGTTTCTCCTGCCGAAGCGTTGATGGACCGAAAAATGCGGACAACATTTCATGCACTTGTCCCTACCGGTGCGCAGCCCGCTCAGACTTCTCCAGTCTCTCGCAGCATGCTCTCCATCGGAACACCTGTCTTCGTCCGTGATTATCGAGCGGGGTTCCCAGACTGGATTGAAGCAACCGTAGTAGCGCACAGAGGCAGCATGTTGTTTGACGTCGACGTTGGTGATGACATCTGGGTTCGCCACCACAACCAGATCCGACAGCGACACTGCAGTAACACAACTGGGCTCACGTCGGCGCCGTCACTCTCCCTTGACATCCTACTGGATACCTTCGCCATTCCGGCAGATCAGTCGGTTCCCGAACCCACTACTGCGCCCCCTTTGGATATATCATCCTCGGTATCAGTTACCGCTCCCGTATCTCCAGGCATTAAACCTCGAATAAGACGTCGGACCAACCGCGTGCGCCGATCAACACGTCTGATGCAGGTCAACCCACGCCAGAAGCGGTACTGACCTACTTGGAGGGGAGGTGTTGGGAGCGCCTACACTCCCAAAAACAAGAGCCAGCCAATCACGGGAGGCCACGTGCGTTTTCTCTACTGCGCTGTCATCTTACTCGTGGCGCCTCTCCATTGGCTTTTCCTCTCGGGCCTGATCGATCAGCATATTCGAATTATCGACCGGCTCGTCTCGAATGTTCTTCCCGAAGGGCATTGGGCCGAACGCCGGCGAAGCACCGTAGGGCGTTATAAATACGCGTTACTTCCAGTTAGTTTTGACTTGCAGTTTCTTAATACACAGTTTCGTGGCCGGTCGCGTTCTCCTTCTCTGCCGCGTTGGTATTGGGGACAAGGGTCGAGTGCGCATACGCTCCACAGGATTTCACGTACCAGGCGGGTCATAACAGCTACGCAGAAAGCAATCCCAATCTATAGGCAAGGCCGCGTATCAGGATGCCATTCTGCTTGTCTGCTATAAGTACAACGATAATGAAATTTTCCTAATAACGTTTACTTCCTTCCGCCTGTACTGGTGATCTGCCTTGGCTGGCCCCTAGCACAATTTGGGAGGAAGGTGAGACCATGCAGAAGGGGAGCACATAGTCTCAACGCCGCCGACAACGGGTACCAACTGCATGGACCATCAGGGCACAACGGAGCCACTCACGTGGTATGAAAAGTAGGAATAAGGGTAGTCGGAAATGAGCGAAGGCGGAGCAAGTGCAATGGACATCACGCGCCAACACGACCGTACGTCCCACCGAACCTGGCCGGCAATGGACTAGGGAAAGAGAAAATAACAGGAAGAACTCCAAAATGATCCAAGTGCATTGGGCGCTTCGTGTCAGCTACCTCTATGATACAAGGACATCCTCGATCATCGCGCACCCTGTCCTGACTATGCACTTAATGAACGTGGCCTAACCGCTGACCGAAATAGCAGGAAAGTGAGAGCAACCAAAACGGATACGGGGTCTAGGAATAGCGAACACATTGTCTCAACTGTGCCTATTATGAAGCTCAACCAGTCTGGCCTAAACACAGATGCCCAAACTTCTTCACCACTTTCGTAGCTCTCTCCTGCTTTATTGAGTGAACACAACGGTTAGGCAAAAGATGTCACTGAAACATTCGCCCGCGGCCAAGCTTGTGCTCAAGGCCATGTGTTATCTTGCAAATCAGGATAAGATCGCTCCTGTGCTGCTTGTAATACGGAGGGAATAAAGAAAGGAAGCTCAGCCTTTCTATGTAAGGTTGCTTTCTAAACCCTACACCACCTTTGCTGCACGGCCTTGCGCCTTTTCACGGCGTGTTTGGCCCTTTGCTAACCATGAGCGCAATGCTTGTGTTTCATATTCTAGATGAGGCCGAAAAGGTGCCTTAACTCTCCCAAAAGGTCCTTGTCAGAAGTCACAAACGCCATTTAAATCGTATGGAGCATTTCTATGGCGTCTTTTACAGTCTTTGTGCACTGCGGTGTTGATTGCATGTTGTTTTGTATCCAAGTCGAGTTCGTGAACCCTATCATTTGCAAAAAGGTTGAGGAGTGAGGGTGCGAGAACTGAGCTTTGAGGCACATCAATATTCCTGTTCACCCAGTCTAACATATCATCTCCGATAAAGACGCGCTGCTCTCGACCAACCAGAAAATCCCTTATGCAGCTACGAAGATCAAACGGGATGCCAAGGACGCTGGGTTTATAATAAAGGCGTCGGTGCGGACCAATTTCGAATGCTCTGCGGAAATCGATGTGTACGACATCGATCTCAAAGACCTCTTCTGAAGCCCTGGTCCAGACCTCCAGGCGAATTAGTGGACTCGAGAAGCATGAGCGTCCTCCTCGGAAGCCATGCTGAAAGTTCTATAAAATGCTGCTTTCTTCATAAAACTGCTATAGAGCACACTTCACTAGAATTTTCATTGTTTTGCATGAGGCAAGTCGAGCTTGTAGTGTAAATGGCAATTAAACTACAAACAATAATAAATATCTAACTCTAAGTGCGGAAGGCTGCGTTTCTTACAAGAAAAATAACGATAACAAAAGGAGTATAAGGAAAACGACGAAAGGTAAAAAAGCGTACAGACTCACGATAAATAAAGCCTTCTTCACAAGCGTGGGCCACAGGGTGAATGTGCTGGGTAAAATCTGAGACGAAGTCAGTGAGTGAGGCTTGTCGCTAAGATGAAATTACGTCCAGTTAAATATGGCCAAAAGATGTGAGAGTTTCGTGTCGATTGACTAAAAACATTAGCGCAAATGAGTGCAGTCAACGAAACAATGACACCAAGCAGCAGACGGACACAAAAGTCACGCTTTTTCACAAGTCGAAACCAAGTGTGTGTGTGCGTTTTAGTTAATTTAAACAATAGTGCAGAAATGTTGAGATGTACAAGAAAGTTTAGAGTGAAAAATCGAAAATGTGAGTAAACCTGCACAACTCCCCCACCAGAGCTTTTGCTGTACAAAAAAACGCTCGATAAAAAATGCAAAAAGTTGCACCAAAAGGCCTTTGAGTTTGGCAGGAAAATGGATATGTCTTACAGAACGAGATTATGGGCGTGGTGTAGAAGAAGGAGAATCAGGATGGGTGGGTGGGTGGTCGAGTGTGGTGGTTGAGTCGTGGGGACCGAAACGGGTGGAGCGGATGAGGACGGTGCCGAGGAAGTCGGTGGCACAACTGACGGCGGGACGCACTCAAGATAGGCTGGCTTAAGTCTGTCGATGGAGAATGTGTCAGTTTTGTCAGCCTTCTGAATGACGTAATACATTCCCATCTGCTGAAGAACCTTATACGGGCTATCATATGGGGAACAAAGAGACTTGCGAACCGCGTCATGCCGGACGAAAACGAATGGAGAAGATTGAAGGTCCTCATACACAAACGCACGTTTCAATGTCAGACGAGTGGGCGTTGGACGCATTTGAGCCATGCGTTGCTTCAACTGCTGAACGAAGTTGCTCGGGATGTTGGTGTTTGTCGTGGAAGACTGCACAAATTCGTCGGGCAGACGGAGGGGTGTACCGTACACATTTTCGGCGGCAGTGCATTGGATGTCCTCCTTGACAGAAGATCGGATGCCCAAAAAGGCAAGATGGAAATTGTCACTCCAAGAAGCTGATTCTGTTTGAGACATCAGTGCGGACTTGAGTTGACTGTGTAGACGTTCCACGAGGCCGTTGGAGGCAGGGGGATATGCCGTGGTTGTGATTTGCGCACACTCGAACAGTTTAGTGAACTCACGGAAGAGGCTAGATTGGAATTGACTCCCGCGGTCAGTAGTAAGGGTGGCTGGAACACCAAAAGTTGAAATCCAGTGCGTCAGAAAAACCATGGCGATATTTTCTGCCGAGGTATATGAGATGGGAACGGCAATCGGCCATCGTGTGAAACGGTCAACCGCTGTCAGAAAATGCGTGTACCCGCGTGAAGGGGTAGCGGACCAACTAAATTCAAGTGGACGTGGTGGAATCGAACATCTGGAACGGCAAATGTACTTGGTGGAGAAAATGTGTGGTGGTGCACTTTATTCTTCTGGCAGGCTAAACACTGCTTAGTCCAAAGAGCGATGTCGGAGTTCATCTTCGGCCAGATAAAACGAGCAGCGATTAGTTTACGCGAAGCGCGGATGCCAGGATGTGACAGGGAATGGGAATGCTCAAACACTGTCTTGCGGTAGGATAGTGGAACAACAGGTCGAGGAGTGCCTGTGGACCAGTCGCATAAAATCGTGCCTGGTGATGCGGGAAGTGGTGCATTTTGAAAATGCAGAGTAGTAGTAGAACGGAGGTCGTCAATGGTCTTGTCGCCTGATTGCAGGTCTACAAGCTTCGCCAGGTCGAAATCGGATGTAAGTGTGTTAATGTCCGGACGGGATAATGCATCAGCAACCACGTTGTCGCTGCCTCGGACGTAGCGGACATCTGAGGTAAACTGCGATATATAGTCCAGATGACGAAATTCCCTGGACGAGTATCGATCTAGCTTGGCCTTGTGGGCGTAAGTGAGAGGTTTGTGGTCGATGTGAACCGAAAAATCTCTGCCCTCTAAGAGGTGTCGAAAATGACGAATGGCAAGGTAGATGGCAAGGAGTTCGCGAGAGAAAGTGCTGTAGCGAGTCTGCTCCGGTTGTGGCTTTTGTGAAAAGAAAGTCAATGGCTGCAACTGGTTATTCATCTATTGACGTAGGACTGCGCCGACAGCATTATTGGAAGCGTCAGTGGTCAAGATCAGCTGTGCGTGAGGGTCGGAACTGAGGTGGTGAAGCAAGGTTGCATCGGCAAGAGCATTCTTAGCTGCCTAAAAGGCCGAGTGAGCTGCTGGAGGAAGTTCGATGGGTTTTCCTTTAGACATTAGAAGGTCAGTTAAGGGAGCTAGGGTCGCCGCACGGTGAGGGATAAAACGACTTGTGGTGTCCTACAAGGCACCGTTTTAGGTCCTCTTTTGTTCTTGCTTTACATCAATGATATTTCGGCAGCAGTTAAACATTCTCAATCATTTATTTATTCCGATGATCTCAAATGTGTATATTCTTTCAAAAATCTACGAGCCTTCATTGCCTGGAGCAAATCCATGCTGACTTACTTGCTCTCTCAGCTTGGAGCTCAAAATGGCTAATGGAATTCTCTCCTTCTAAATGTCGCTATATGTGCTTTGGACCTGATAGGCTACCTCAACCAGTGGTCTTTCAAGGCACACCTATGACTGAATGTACCACCATCAAGGATTTAGGTTTAAGCTACACTAATAATCTTGATCTCTCGCCTCACGCTGACAGAATTACAGCCAAAGCTGCCCAGATTTGTGGCTTTATTTCTTACAATTTCTATCTTCCTGAAATTAAATTAAAGCTCTATCGTATGTTTGTACTTCCCATTGTCGAGTATTGTTGCCCATTCTTCAGTTTGATGAATGAAGCCAGTCGTTTAAAAATTGAGAATGTCTAAAGACGTTTTTCTAAAAAAAACTTTTAGATAGGGAACATCCCAATATCTCCTACTCAGATAGATGCCAGCTAATTAACCTAAACTTTTTATGGGTTCGAGGACTAGAAGCAGGCTTCTGTCTCCTCTTTCGCATTAATCATAGTTCAAATTTTCCTCGGATTTCAGCACTTACCCCTAGTAGTCGCCCATACAATCTTCGCAATTCGTCTCTAATTATACCTCCTCCAGCGTCCTCCAACTTTAAGCGTTCTAACTTTTTCGCTTGCAGATAAACTTTCTTCTCGAATAACCTTCCAATAAATAGAAGATCTTCAGAAAATCTACACACCTTTAAGAGAAGGCTACGCCTTTATCGGAATACCGACTCGATTAAACTTTTATTATCCTCATCCTTCCCAGACAACTTTTTCTATGACAATGAGAAAGGGCCACCGGGAATTTAGTATGCCGCCATTAAGTTTCCGTATCTGTTCACATTTCCTTCCTTTATGAGTAGTCTCGCTACCTAAGATCCCTCACCAGAAATGTTAATTATTCCAATTTTTCAGTTCATGCATCGTGCCCTCACAGAATGCGCACCATTGATGCTCTTGGCAGAACCTTCTGCATTTGCCATACACTAGTAGTCTGGTCGCATCTACCTTGCCCCCTCTTCATCTGGGTTCTTGTCGCCTCGAGACTGGTCGTCATCGTGCCCTCACAGAATGCCCTCCATCGACGATCTTGGTGAAGCCTTCTATATTCGCCATATACTAGTAGTCTGGTCGCATCTCCCTTGCCCCATCCTCGGATTGACTCGGTTGAATGCAACCGACCGCATCTGGGTGTCTGTCAGCTCGAGACTGGTTTTCACTTTCGCCACTTATTTGTCTTATTGAAGGCCACATACAGGCCATTCCTGACCAACCCGCCTACTTACCCCTTTATGTAATCCGTTATGCAATGCCATATACTGCTGGCATTTATTTCGGTCCTGACGATGTCAGACTATAATGCATTCTATACCGCCACATGCAGGCCAGTCCTGCCCACATTTTTCTGTTTCTATTTTTCCGAGGGTTGTTTCTCCTGCTAAATTACTCCAATTATTTTTAAATTTTTAATTGGGATTTTTTTAAACCCTCGATTATCATTTATCTTAACGGACTTCTTATCTCAAAAACTATGTATTGCACTTTGTACAGATTTTCCTACCTCGTCTAAAATTCGCATGTAAATTTATTTTTACTTGCTTTGATGGGACCCCGACGGGTCTATAATAAAAATAATTAAATCAAATTAATTAATTAAATTAAATTAACTTGATTGGTTTACCACAGGCGGACACAGTCAAGACCGCTGGCGTAAAGAATCTGCCATGACACTTTTGCAGCGGCGATTTTCGGCGACACACGGCTCATCGCTCTGGCGGATGCCACCTTCCGCGGCGCCGGACGCACCCTCGTCCGGTTGCCAACTTTCACCTATCGTTCTTTACAAAATAGAATCTTCTACACAACTGGCGTCCCTCTTCAAACAACTTGGTGTAGGGCCTGAATTTGTGGCGCACTGAACATAAATCATCACCGCTTTGCCGCTGCAGGCAGCACTGAAATTTCGTCTTGTTAATAAGTCTGAGAGAAGGGCCTTCAGAGGCTACGGCAAAAAGATCAAGGGATGAAAAGTAAATCCGCGACATTAATTATTTTCGGCGGGAATACAGTGTCGCAACACTTATAATTGTCTATTCCCCCACCAGCCTGTCTTACGGGCGGACTACTACTACTACTACTACTTCTTCTTCTACTACTACTACTACTACCACTAATACTACTACTACTACTACTACCACCACCACTACTACTTCTACTACTACTACTACTACCGCTGTTACTACTAATACTACTACCACTGGCGGGAATACAGTGTCGCAACAATGAAGAAAACTTTTTCCCCCGTCTACCACCACTGATACGGCGAATACTACTAATAATCCTACTATTAGTACTACTACTACTACCACCGCCACTACGGCTGCCGATGCTACTCTACCAACGCTTACAGTATGGGTAACTAACTGCAATAATACAAGCATCAGTAACGGAGTGTTGCGACACTGGTATCCAACCTTATTTTCTTACGGGGGAAGAGGTGAGAAAAGAACGGACCCCAAATTTCGTACAGATCAGCAGTGCAGTCAGCCGCATCCGAGCTCACGAAGAAAACATAGAAATTGCAAGAGGTAAGGTGGGTCAATATTTCTGTCGGACGAGTTGATTGGAAATCGAAGAAGCTGTATTTTTTTAGAAAAGATTTCCGAAACTTCGCTTTCTTGTGAGGAAGCAACTAGGTTGTGGCCTTAATCCCGAGTGGGCTTGTAGACGACACTAACAAATAAAAGCAAACTCTAGAGAATATTAGATTAAGTGTGTTTGATCCTCGGGTGGGAGATCAACAACCCGATTCCAACTGTCGACATCAACAGCGTCGAATAAGGCCTCGAAATTTTCTAGGGCTGGAAGGCTGAAGTCAGTGGACCTCAGGAAAATCGAAGTCAACCGACACCAACCGATACTTAAGGTTAAATTCGGTTGTGGCATGAAGGGCCTGGGAAGAGGGCAAAGATCGAAATCCTCACCGGCGTTCAGTGGGCAATATACGCTAGTAAGGAGAAACGAGCACCGATTTTCCAATGACGGCATTAACCAAGGCAGGAAATCTTTGAAGAAGATTAGATCGCTCACACTGAGTCACATAAAATAGTTGGCGGCATAGTCGACGTAGAGTGGAGGCCGAAGTGCTTCCAGCGCGATAGTTGATAAAATCATCGTGATACAAGGGCGGGGCTCGCACTAATGCTAACAATTACCGGCCTGTTAGTCTAACCTGCATCTGCTGCAAAATAATGGAGGCCATAGTTAAGAAAGCAACTATGGAGTTCCTGGAGCAGGGCCATTTAATCTCAGACCTGCAGCACGGCTTCAGACAGAACCGTTCGTGCCTTTCTAGTTTATTGCTCTCGACGGAGAAATGGACTCGCGCACTGGACGAGGATGGTAGGGTCGATGTCATCTACACAGACTTTATTAAAGCGTTCGACAGCGTCCCACACAAACACCTAATCTACAAACTTTCGGAAATTAGGATAAGAGGAAGGCTGCTGACATGGATAACAGATTTTCTTACCGGGAGATCGCAAACCGTGTGCATTGAGGCCTCAAGGTCAACTCCTATCCCCGTTCTAAGTGGTGTACCCCAAGGCTCCGTCTTAGGGCCGTTGCTATTCTTGGTTTACATTAACGACTGCGTCGACAACCTGGGATGCAGCGCCATCATGTTTGCTGACGATGTTAAGCTGTGGAGACCCATCAGATCTGATGCAGACAGGTACGCGCTTCAAGACAGTCTC